TTTACGACACACAGGGCTCAGCCCTTGGCTGCCATTAGCTTTGAGAAAACTATTGAACTCCTTCCCCTGTATTTTGTATTTCTAAATACTACAGCTGCCATAAACTTGGATTTATGTGCTTCAACAGAAAGAGTGGACAAAGAAGCCCATGCTTTTGAAGGAACAGAGTCACATTCTAAAGGAGAAATAAAAGCAAAGAGCAAATTTGGGTTTAGGGATTCTGCCCTCCCAAATCCCTAGAACAGGTGTGGTTACCTCAAAAACAGAAATAACAAGTACGTTCTCTTGCCAAGACAGCAGTTTTCTTTAATAACTTTGAGTTTACCTCTTGCTACACAGCATGATTTCTTTTAGCAATTGGTATGAGGACAATCCCTTTTATATTATAAAATTGGAGAGTTCCATTATTCACCTATCACTGTCACTATGTACCTGTCACCCCAAAAATGAGGAGAAAGGGAACATTCAAGAAAGTCATGTAAGAACACTATTTCCTAAGTTTTATTTTCTGGAACATCCAATTCACAAAATATGCTAATAAGTGTTCTGAGAAAAAAGATTCTGTGGTCAAGTAAGATTGGGAAATGTTACTTTAGTTAAGGCCAAACAAATATCTTTTCTGAATAACTTCTTAGAACGTTTAGTTACTAATTTGCATTGTGAATCATCAAAACGAGGATATTATATGTAAACATTCTGATAAGAAGACTTTTCCTTATCATGGGAATAAAATGGTAAAACAGAGCAAAAAAATAAAGTTCCTGTTTACAAGTCAGTCAGTGCCTAGTGTAAAGACAACCCCATAAACAGACTTTTAAAATCAAGTGATAAAAGTGCAACAATTAAGGTAAATACAGAGAGGACTGGAAATCCAATAGGAGGAAACTAACCAGGGAGGTGGAGTCAGTCCTTTCTGGAGGGGGTGACGGTGGAGCTGAGCCTTCACAAGTGGCATCATTCCAGCTCCTTCTACTTTGGTCCACCATTTCCGATCATCCACATGGAGCAAACAACTTTATCATCAATAAAGCATATAGATTTTCTATTTTGGTTTTTATGTATATTTGCTTTTTGTTGTCTTTGGAAGCCAGATAGATCTAGATCCAAGTCTCAGCTCTGCCTCTTCCTACCTCTCTGATCTTGACCAACTACCTTAACCTCTTCTGTTTTTCAGAATTGTCATGAGAATTAGAGATGATATAAGTAGCACTAGCAGAGTGCCCGAAAAACAATAGGTTTAACCATTTAGACAATTATTATTTTTATTAGGTTTTAAGATTGGAATGCATTTAAGATATCTAATCTAAGTATTCGCTAGATATATACTAATCCCATTCTATAATACGTTCATAATACAGCTTCTATTTGAAACTCTGCTTCAATTCAATTTTGTTTAATAAGCTCTCAGACTCTAAAAGGCATAGTGCTACATATGGGATATATACAAAATGAATTGACCACAGACTTTGTCCTGGATCAAAAGTTTCCAGTTTAATGTAGGAGTGGGGTGGAGTTAGAGAAAGTAAGAGCATAACAATGGGCACAATGGATGTGGAAGCCAATACATAAGAAGTAAAGATAAGACACTATAGGAGAGAATATCACTTCTCTTTGCTGGATGAGGAAAGACTTCCTGAAAGAAGTGACATTTAAGCAGGGCCATAATATATGAGGAATATATGGACATAAGAGATTAGCAAGGGAAGAAATCCAGGAGAAGACAACAGAAGGAGCAAGGTTATAATTGATCAATTTGGCCAACTTATGAAGCTACTGTGGGTGACAAATGGAAGATGAAAGCAGAAAGATAAGTTAGTAACAGATTATGAAAGGCAAGACAGTTCACTGTCCATTTTTATCAATATGTTACATTAGACATCTCCATAAAACACAACAAACATCCTTTAAATGCATAGCTGAATCGACTAGAAAGGAAAATCCACAGGAACCAAAAAACAAAAATTCTGCAAACTTCACTAGTAAGCTCATGAGCTGACCCTGGGACTAACAAAGATCTTGACTTTTATGTACCTAAGGGGACAATGAATGAGACATTAGGTGTGGAGTGTTGGAGATAGATGGTTGATATCTATCCCCCAAAGTAAGAGCCATCCAAAGGCTATGAAAAGAAAGTATAGGGCTTAAAAATATTCATCTGCTGTTATAGACATTCACAAATAAAATCTGTTTGTCAGCCTGGAGATAAAAACAAAATTGTCTTCTCTGATTATTTGTTACCAAAGTCCTGGTTGCACTTGAATTTGGAATTTGAATAAATGCTACATGAGTGACTTGGAAAGCTGCAAGCTGAGAAATTAACAGAAAAGGGATTCCAGACATGTGTTATTTTGGTAGCTCCAGGAAGAAGTGAGTGCAAAATTATTCTGGCCAGACACACCATCAAAAATAGTTATAAAATGTTTTTGAAGCTAATGCCCCACTGAAGAATAGGTCACAAAGAAAAATCACATAATAATGAGGGAACAATCATTAGAGGGAGGTAGATGATCAGTAAAAAAGAGGTAGACCTCCTAAAACCTCAGATAATAGAAACTATGAAATAAGTACTTTAAAAATGATTAAAGACATTAAAAAAAAAGAGAAATCACATATATGAGATAGGAGTAACAAACCATTAAAAATATGTATCTGAGAAAGAATATATAAATAAAATATACGGTCATTGATATTAAAAGCAATGCATAATATAAATAGTAGCCTGAAATAAGCTGAAGAAAAATTAGTGAACTGGAAAATAGACCTGAAGAAATTGCCAAGAATATACTACAGAGAGATAAACATTAAAAAATTTAGGAGACATGGAAGATGGGATTCAAAATGATAAATAAAAATGGCAGGGGAATTAATATTTGAAAGATGATAGCTAAAATTGTCCCATTTTTCTCACTAATGTCACTCACCACTGTGACTATAATCCAACCCACCATTTTCTTTCAACAGGATTATTTCAGTAGCCTCCTACCAGACCTTCCTGCTTCTGCCCTTGGCTCTACAGTTTGCTCTCAACATCTGAACCTTAAAAGGTGCAAGTCAGTTCATGTCATGTCAACCCTCTGCTTAACCAACCAATGGCTTCCCATTAATGATTAAAGTACTTACAATGACTGATACAGCCCTATGTGATTTGCACCTGTTAACTCTCTGAACACATCCCCTTCAACTCTCTACCTTGTCACTCTGCTCCAGCCATACCTCCGTCTTGACTGTTCCTCAATCACTAACCATGTTTCCACCTCAGAACTTTTGATCTTGCAGTTTCCTCTGGTTGTATAATTTTTCCTCAGATACTGTTTTCAGGCCTTTGCACAAATATCACCTTATGTGTGAAGCCTTGCTTAATAATTCAAAAACTTAGCATAAATGGACCATATCCTAGAAAAATATAGCTATCACAAATGACCCAAGAAGAAAATGTAAAATCAGATGATCACCTCAATAGATGAAGACAAAACTTCTGATAAAATTCAACAACTTGAACAAATTGATAAAAGAGAGAGAATACATTATAGCCTACATATGGAGAAAGGATGTAAAAATTACTTATTAGGAAAGAAAAATAAAAATATATCTCTCACATCACATGCAAACATAAATTTTAGTTGAATACATAGCATATAATATTTATGTACCTTTTAAAACCTGGAAAATACCATGAATTGTTTTTGTATATATTTTATACATAGGAGAAATATAAACACATGTGCAGGAATGATGCACATCAAAATCAGGACAAGAGTTGAAAAGTTGACTCTGAATGATAGAAATTTTAGGAATACCTTTGTCAGTACATTTTGCTTATACTTTCCATCTCTTGTGATAATAAGAGTGATTGAAGATAAATATCCACATTTGTATAAGTTTAGAAGAGTGTTTTCACATGAAGCTAATATACTGTTATAAATCAATGATACTTCAATAAAAAATAAAATAAAGGGTGGTAGTCTGATGGCTTAAACAAAATTCTTATAATAAAAAAAGTGTTTTTAAAAATTATAAGATAGACAAGCCTCTTAGATAGCCTCATCCACCAGAGGGCAGACAGCAGAAGCAAGAACAACTATAGTCCTGCAGCCTGTAGAACAAAAACCATATTCACAGAAAGATAGACAAGATGAAAAGGCAGAGGACCATGTACCAGATGAAGGAACAAGATAAAACCCCAGAAAAACAACTAAATGAAGTGGAGATAGGCAACCTTCCAGAAAAAGAATTCAAAATAATGATAGTGAAGATGATCCAGGACCTCAGAAAAAGAATGGAGGCAAAAATCGAGAAGATGCAAGAAATGTTCAACAAAGACCTAGAAGAGTTAAAGAACAAACAAAGAGTTGAGCAATACAATAACTGAAATGAAAATTACACTAGAAGGAATCAACAGCAGAATAACTGAGGTAGAAGAACGGATAAGTGACCTGGAAGACAGAATGGTGGAATTCACTGCTGCTGAACAGAATAAAGAAAAAAGAATGAAAAGAAATGAAGACAGCCTAAGAGACCTCTGGGACAACATTAAATGCAACAACATTTGCATAATAGGTGTCCCAGAAGGAGAAGAGAGAGAGAAAGGACCCGAGAAAATATTTGGAGAGATTATAGTCAGAAACTTCCCTCACATGGGAAAGAAAATAGCCACCCAAGTCCAGGAAGTGTGGAGAGTACCATACAGGAAAAACCCAAGGAGAAACATGCTGAGACACACAGTAATCAAATTGGCAAAAAATAAGACATAGAAAAATTATTGAAAACAGCAAGGGAAAAATGACAAATAACATACAAGGGAACTCGCATAAGGTTAACAGTTGATTTCTCAGCAGAAACTCTACAAGTCAGAAGGGAGTGGCATGATATACTTAAAGTGATGAAAAGGAAGAACCTACAACCAAGATTACTCTATCTGGCAAGGATCTCATTCAGATTCGATGGAGAAATCAAAAGCTTTACAGACAAGCAAAAGCTAAAAGAATTCAGCACCACCAAACCAGCTCTACAACAAATTCTAAAGGAACTTATCTAAGTAGGAAACACAAGAGTAGAAAAGGACATAAGAAACATACCCAAAACAGTTAAGAAAATGGTCATAGGAATATACATATCGATAATTATCTTAAATGTGAATGGATTAAATGCTCCAACCAAAAGACACAGGCTTGCTGAATGGATACAGAAACAAGACCCATATATATGCTGTCTACATGAGACCCACTTCAGACTTAGGGACACATACAGACTGAAAGTGAGGGGATGGAAAAAGATATTCCATGCAAATGCAAATCAAAAGAAAGCTGGAGTAACAATATTCATATCAGATAAAATAGACTTTAAAGAATGTTACAAGAGACAAGGAAGGACACTACATAATGATCAAGGGATCAATCCAAGAGGAAGAGATAACAATTATAACTATATATGCACCCAACATAGGAGCACCTCAATACATAAGGCAACTGCTAACAGCTATAAAAGAGGAAATCAACAGTAACACAAAAATAGTGGGGGACTTTAACACCTCACTTACACCAATGGACAGATCATCCAAAATGAAAATAAATAAGGAAACACAAGCTTTAAATGACACAATAGACCAGATAGATTTAATTGATATTTATAGGACATTCCATCCAAAAACAGCAGATTTCACTTTCTTCTCAAGAGTGCACAGAACATTCTCCAGGATAGGTCACATCTTGGGTCACAAATCAAGCCTCAGTAAATTTAAGAAAATTGAAATCATATCAAGCATCTTTTCTGACCACAACGCTATGAGATTAGAAATGAATTACAGGGAAAAAAACATGAAAAACTCAAACACATGGTGGCTAAACAATACATTACTAAATAACCAAGAGATCACTGAAGAAATCAAAGAGGAAATTAAAAAATACCTAGAGACAAATGACAATGAAAACACAACAATCCTAAACCTATGGGATGCAGCAAAAGCAGTTCTAAGAGGGAAGTTTATAGCTATACAAGCCTACCTCAAGAAACAAGAAAAATCTCAAATAAACAATCTAACTTTACACCTAAAGGAACTAGAGAAAGGAGAACAAACAAAACCCAAAGTTAGCAGACGGAAAGAAATCATAAAGATTAGAACAGAAATAAATGAAATAGAAACAAAGAAAAGAATAGAAAAATATCAATAAAACTAAAAGCTGGTTCTTTGAGAAGATAAACAAAATTGATAAACCATTAGCAAGACTCATCTCAATAAAATTAAAAAGGAGAATTTACAACAGACACTGCAGAAATACAAAGCATCCTAAGAGACTACTACAAGCAACTCTATGCCAATGAAATGGACAACCTGGAAGAAATGGACAAATTCTTAGAAATGTATAACCTTCCAAGACTGAACCAGGAAGGAATAGAAAATATGAACAGACCAATCACAAGTCATGAAATTGAAACTGTGATTAAAAATCTTCCAACAAACAAAAGTCCAGGAAGAGATGGCTTCACAGGTGAATTCTATCAAACATTTAGAGAAGAGCTAATACCTATCCTTCTCAAACTCTTCCAAAAAATTGAGGAGGAAGGAATACTCCAAAACTCATTCTATGAAGCCACCATCACCCATACCAAAACCAGACAAAGATACTACAAAAAAAGAAAATTACAGACCAATATCACTGATGAATATAGATGAAAAAATCCTCAACAAAATACTAGCAAACAGAATCCAACAATGCATGAAAAGTATCATACACCTTGATCAAGTGGGATTTATCCCAGGGATACAAGAATTCTTCAATATAAATCAATCAATCAATGTGATACATCATATTAATAAATTGAAAAATAAAAATCATATGATCATCTCAGATGCAGAAAAAGCTTTTGACAAAATTCAACACCCATTTATGATAAAAACTCTCCAGAATGTGGACATAGGGGGAACCTACCTCAACATCGTAAAGCCCATATATGACCAACCTACAGCAAACCTAATTCTCAATGGTGAAAAACTGAAAGCATTTCCTCTAAGATCAGGAATAAGACAAGGATGTCCACTTTCACCACTATTATTCAACAAAGTTTTGGAAGTCCTAGCCACTGCAATCAGAAAAGAAAAAGAAATAGAAGGAATACAAATTGGAAAAGAAGAAGAAAAACTGCCACTGTTTGCAGATGACATGATACTCTACATAGAGAATCCTAAAGATGCCACCAGAAAACTACTAGAGTTAATCAATGAATTTGGTAAAGTTGCAGGATACAAAGTTAATGCACAGAAATCTCTTGCATTCCTATATACTAATGATGAAATTTCTGAAAGAGGAATTAAGGAAACACTTCCATTTACCTTTGCAACAAAAAATATAAAATACCTAGGAATAAACCTACCTAGGGAGACAAAAGATGTGTATGCAGAAAACTATAAGACACTGATGAAAGAAATGAAAAATGATACCAACAGATGGAGAGATATACCATGTTCTTGGTTTCTTGGAAGAATCAATATTGTGAAAATGACTCTACTACCCAAAGCAATCTACAGATTCAGTGCAATCCCTATCTAATTACCAATGGCATTTTTTACAGAACTAGAACAAAATGTCTTAAAATTTGTATGGAAACACAAAAGACCCCGAATAGCCAAAGCAGTCTTGGGGGAAAAAAGCGGAGCTGGAGGAATCAGACTCCCTGACTTCAGACTACACAACAAAGCTACAGTAATCAAGGCAATATAGTCCTGGCACCAAAATAGAAATATAGATCAATGGAACAAGAAAGAAAGCCCGGAGATAAACCCATGCACTTGTGGTCAGCTAATGTATGACAAAGGAGGCAAGAATATACAATGGAGAAAAGACAGTCTCTTCAATAAGTGGTGCTGGGAAAACTGGACAGCTACATGTAAAAGTATGAAATTAGAACACTCCCTAACACCATACACAAAAATAAACTCAAAATGGATTTGAGACCTAAATGTAAGACTGGACACTATAAAACTCTTAGAGGAAAACATAGGAAGAGCACTCTTTGACATTAATCACAGCAAGATCTTTTTTGATCCATCTCCTAGAGTAATGGAAATAAAAACAAAAATAAACAAATGGGACCTAATGAAACTTCAAAGCTTTTGCACAGCAAAGGGAACCATAAACAAGATGAAAAGACAACCCTCAGAATGGCAGAAAATATTTGCAAACAAATTAATGGACAAAGGATTAATCTCCAAAATATATAAACAGCTCATGCAGCTCAATATTAATAAAACAAACAACCCAATCCAAAAATGGGCAGAAGACCTTAATAGACATTTCTCCAAAGAAGACATACAGATGGCCAAGAAGCACATGAAAAGCTGCTCAACATCACTAATTATTAGAGAAATGAAAATCAAAATTACAATGAGGTATCACCTCACACCTGTTAGAATGGGCATCATCAGAAAATGTACAAACAACAAATACTGGAGAGGGTGTGGAGAAAAGGGAACCCTCTTGCACTGCTGGTGGGAATGTATATTTATGCAACCAGTATGAAGAACAATATGGAGGTTCCTTAAAAAACTAAAAATAGAATTGCCATATCATCCAGCAATCCCACTACTGGGCATATACCCAGAGAAAACCATAATTCAAAAAGACTCATGCACCCCAATGTTCATTGCAGCACTATTTACAATAGCCAGGACATGGAAGCAACCTAAATGCCCATCGAGAGACAAATGGATAAAGAAGATGTGGTACATACATACAATGGAATATTATTCAGCTTTAAAAAGGAATGAAATTGGGTCATTTGAAGAGATGTAGATGGATCTAGAGACTGTCACACAGAGTGAAGTAAGTCAGAAAGAGAAAAACAAATATCGTATATTAATGCATATATGTGGAACCTAGAAAAATGGTACAGATGAACCAGTCTGCAGGGCAGAAATTGAGACACAGATGTAGAGAACAAACATATGGATACCAACAGAAAGCAGTGGGAGGTGGGCGTGGTGGTGTGATGAACTGGGGGATTGGGATTGACATGTATACACTGATGTGTATAAAATGGATGACTAATAAGAAAATGCTGTATAAAAAAATAAATAAAATTAAATTCAAAAAATAATTATAAGATATAAATTTTCAGTGACAAGGGAAAAAAAAATCAGGACATGGTTTACTTCTGGGAAGGGCAGAAAGGAAGTGGGATGAAGGAGGGTATCACAGAAGCCTACAACTCTAGCTCTAATTATTAGTGTCATTTTTGAAAAGACTTGATGCAGTCACAGCTAAATGTTAAGATTTGGCAAGGCTGGATTTTGGATACATGTGTGCTTATTATGTTGTTCATTGTATTTTTCAATATGTTTACTAAGTAGAGACATTAAAAAAAAGATTATTTTCTAAATAGAAGAGAAGCTTAGGCCAAATAATCTGTCTTTTTTCTGTAAGTGGTAAGGAACTTTAGAATATCTTTAGCAGGAAGTCTGACCACTTGGAGCATCAACAGGCCATCAGAGGAACCTGAGTGCTGTATCTTCCATGTCATAGAATGGAGCTCAACAATGCTCAATTCAAATAAATATCCAGAATGAATTGGTACAGTCAGGATTGGCCTTGCTAAGTCAGCCATGGAACAAAGATCCTTTATTGAGAAACTTTCTCGAGAGAATAATATTAAACTATTTCTTCTGTTTATTTGTCAAGGCACCCAAAGACAACCACACAACATTGTGAAACTTTTGGAACATAACCAATTTAAACTGGTGGTGTTTGGAGCTGGAAGAGGGAAAGCTTCTCCATGAAAAGCTTTTGAGGCTACACAACACCTTTGTTATCACAAGGTTATAAATCAAGCAGAAGCAAAAGCCAAATGTGTTTCTCTGAAGAGCAATGTTTATAAGATTGTGTATAGGAAGAATCATTTAAAAACTGCCTTTGCTTGCCATAGCTTGTAAAAAATTCTCCTGTAGAATTGTAATCCCATTACTGATGTTTTCTTTTTCAATTTCTCTGTGTAATATGTAATTATTTCAACCTCTGCCCCTTTGTGTGGTCTATTGGTGGGCTAGAATTCAGAAGAGTTTTTTTCTAAGAACTCCAATAGACTCAAGATAGTGATCTTTCCCCTCAACTCATATTCTCTGACCTAAATAGTTTTATTTCTTGAGTGTGCCCCAATGATTTGAATAGGACAAAACATAACATTCTCATAAAGTATTTAATCTCAAAGAGAAGAAAGCTTTATTCCCTCAAGTAGAGAGACGTAACGCCACAATATGAATTGCTCTTCATTTCTCTGTTTTTTATTGTGTTTTTTTTTGGTGAGACTGTTTCTGTCTAGATAAAGGAACAAGATGGCCAGAGCCATTATATGAATAATTTGATTCTAGTATGTTTGGCCAAAAGATTGGATGACCAAAGCAAGAGTGAAGATTTTAAGATATTTATCTATTAGGTGGAAACTTCACACTGGAGGTATTCAGGAAAGATTGGGAATCTATCTTTAAGGGATGAGAAGTTAAAGACAGAAGATGCAACTGGGGAAAAGGAAAGGAATGGACATTTTCTGTGCACTTGTCTGTGTTCCAGATACTCCACGTAGATCATCTAAGTGAAATATTGCACTGTCTCCATGGAATACTTGTTGTGTTCCTCATGTCACAGATGACAACGTAAGATTCTAACAGACAGAATAATGAGTCTAAGACCAAGTGGTTGGCATGGAGGTACATTGTTCAGATCTCCTTTTAAGAAAATCTGCTGCACGTAGTGTAGATGATGCTGTTGCTGCATCTTCAGAGCTACACTGACATTCATGCCAAGGCCACACTTCACTCAGGCTGCTCCCAGGCCATGACTGAGCGCAGCAGTGGCACTAAAGCCAGTCCACTCCTGCCCCATGTGGAATTCCTCCAACTTTTGCTCTGAGGCTCGGCATTGGCCTGGCCATACTCAGAATGGCAGTCAGAGATTCTATCTGATGCTCCTTCATTTCTACTCTCCTTTTAAAGCTGGAAGACCTACATCACCTACCCTCTCCTATTCCCCCCATCTTTATCCTTCATAATCATTCCCGCAATAAGTCTCTTGTATATCCCGTCTTGTCATCTGCATCTCAAAGGACCTTACCTGACAAAGGTCACATAAATAATAACTGTCAGAATAAGAGGCAAATGCAAAGGCATCACTCTTTCAATATTGACATTAATACTGATAGTACTAATATTGATACTACTAATAAGTAACATTAAGACATATACTGTTTGTTAAGTGTTTACTAAGAACTAGATATTACGCTCAGACTTTCATGCATTATCTCACTCAGTTTTCGTAACAACTCCATATGACAGATGTTACTATCTGCATTTTACAGATGAGAAGACAAAGGCTTAGAGATGTCAATTAAATTACACAGGTCACATAATTTTTTTTTTTTCTGCATTGGGTCTTCGTTGCTGTGTGCGGGCTTTCTCTAGTTGCCTCGAGCAGGGGCTACTCTTCGTTGCGGTGCGTGGGTTCATTGCAGTGGCTTCTCTTGTTGCGGGGCACAGGCCCCAGAATGCACAGGCTTCAGTAGTTGTAGCACTTGTGCTCAGTAGTTGTGGCACACGGGCTTAGTTGCTCCATAGCATGTGGGATCCTCCCAGACCAGGGATCAAACCCGTGTCCCCTGAATTGGCAGGCAGATTCTCAACCACTGTGCCACCAGGGAAGTCCCTACCCATGTCACATAATTATCCAGTGGCATAGCCAGGATTTGCACTGGGGTCTGTATGGCTCTAAAATCCATGTTTTTAACGCCTCTGTACATTTTATATACTATATTGCTTATCACAAACCACTCTGCCTTCTTCCAGCTTTCATCACCTTGCGTGCTTTAGGACTATGACTCGATTGGTATTTTTTCACTTGAAGTTACAATAGACAACAACTATTCATAAAATGCCAAATCTGTGCCCAGGTTTTTGGCTATATCCTGAGGATCCAATAGAAGAAAATTCAATATGTCACCTCCCTTCTTAAAAACCTTTGCATGTCCTCCCACTGTGAGAAGAAACTAGCTTCTGCCTTCAGGGAAAATCATTATTAATCTGGCAGGTTATTAACAATTTAAATAAAAAGAAAGAACCATCCAAGAAACTAGATAATTATAGGGTTGTTGTCAAATGACACTAACTACTCTCCTGAACAAAATAAATTAAAAATAAACAAACTCCAAAGTCGATGAAATTTCAAAACAGCAAGGAGTGCATATTAGCTGGAAAAAAGAAATTAGATCTTGAAAATTCTGTAAGATTTGGAAAGGCAGAAAATGTGGTATACCAAACCGGAGGTGAATAACAACAATTAGCTAACTGGAGGGAAAGAAATTAATCCTTAAAATAATGGCAGATTCAGGTAGAAATGTAACTAGTAATCTCTCACTTGGCATCACTTAAAACTTTTCCTCCTAGAGAATATAATGGAATGTACCTTGACGGAAATAATGTGCACTTGGCAGTCAGACAGACCTGCAACCCACAAGTCTGTCAACACGTACTGGTTAAACAATAAAAAAAATCGTGAACTAGGGCAACAAAGAGGATGTTTAATGATGCTGTATGGGAAATATAATCTTGTCCAGGTATCTCCCCAATGAAGGATTCTGTTTTAATCTTGGACTTCAGTCAGGAACTTACCTTCCTAACTCAAGGAGTCTTACAGTACTTTTTCATGCCATACCAAAAGAAATGTTTTTAAGACAGGGAGACAGACAACCACATACTAAATCCTAAGAGAAAAATAATGAGGCAGCTGGGCTGAGTACCCAGACTACAAAAAAATCTGTTGGATCCTATATTCAGAATCAAGATGTGCTAATTAGTAACTTTCTACCTATCACCTGTTAGTGTCTTGGAAGCAAAGCCTCCTTATCAATTCTTTAAAGAAACTTCAATGTTTGAAGTAAACACTAAAGAACAGCATGAGCAAATGTTAAGAAATTTCTGTAAAATAGTGTGAAGAGCTCTGCTGCAAATCATCAGTACCTCAGAATGA